TTTTGAGACAGAGTCTCTGTCATCCAGGCTGGAGTGCAATGGCATGATCTCGGCTCACTGCAAGCTCCACCTCCCGGGTTCACGCCATTTTCCTGCCTCAACCTCCCAAGTAGCTGGGACTACCCAGCTGGGTAGCCCACCACCATGCCCGGCTAATTTTTTGTATTTTTAGTAGAGACCGGGTTTCACCGTGTTCGCCAGGATGGTCTCTATCTCTTGACCTCATGATCTGCCCTCCTCGGCCTCCCAAAGTGCTGGGATTACAGTTGTGAGCCACGTACATTAATATTTTAGTAGAAATATGTAACGATCTGTAAGTTTTTATTTTAGAAAATGTATTTGAAAGATACTAGATCCCCTGCATTCATAAGAATGTTTTAAACAAATGACCTTAAAAAGGTTTAAAAAAAATAAGCTTAGGATAAGCAAAACAGGAAGTAATGAAACATTAATTTGAAGTTCTTAAAATTTTGTAAACTATGATTATATTACTCATATGAGATAAAAATAGTTTGAAAAATTATCTTTCGAAATCATTTACACCAGAAGAACCCATTAATGTATTGATTTAAACTATCTTCAATTATTCTTTGCTACTAAGAAAAAATCTTTCTAAATGATGAAATAGTTATTCTTTATGGAGTTTGATCAAGAATCAGAGTTTGACCAGTTGTTAACAATGAAGCCATTAATAAAATGATATATTAAGAAAAATGAGGAGATTATTTTCATAGTAGAAATATGTAATTTCAAAGAATAAATAAAAGTAATGATCATAAATTTCCTCTCTCTGTAAAAACATATGAAAAAGGAAACCTAATTAAACTGAAATAAAAACCAGAGTATTTTACATGCATATACAAACAAAACTCCACTGATAAATCAGGCTAAACTAATACTCAAATGAAGTACTATAGTTCAACAGGAAATTCGTGCAATAGTTATAGGGTAACCACTACAGAAGCCCTCCCTTACTCTTCTTAAAATAACAATTACCTAGTTCAGAAAGTTCATGGATTTAAAAATTCTAATAGTATTCAAGTATAAATTTACATTTAAATTTTACAGTTAGTAGAATGGCATGACGTACTTGTAACCCCTTTGTAGAATATCAACAAATGTAAGCCATGTGACCAATCACTTGTAGGAAAGATGTCTAGTGTAAAACCCCTTCCTTTTCTTATATGTGACTGTAAGTCTTAATCATATTTGCAGATTTCAGTTTTCCTTTTTTTTTTTTTCTGACAGGAGAAAGATTGATGTTATCTAGAATTATAGAATCAAAGCTTTAAAAAATCTGCAAAATTTTTTGTTTACCCCTATGCATGATGCACAAGTTAACTACAACGTTGTTGTAAAGCATGGAACATCTTTTTTGCCCACAAAGTCTGAAAGGTGGAGGATTAGGCTGGACCAGACTAGACTGAATCCGTTTGAATTGGAGAGTTTCAAATCTTTCTAATGGGGTCTTTCTATTTAATTTTCATAGCAATGTAGAACTAGTTTATTTTCTTAATATCAGGAATAAAATGACTCATCAAAAGACCTACAATGGAAGAAAAAAAAACTAAGACCACTATGTTTTATTTTTAAACATAAATCTTTTATTAATCACTAAAGTAATATACAGTATTCTGAAGAGTGTTATGTTGTAAAGTCCTTGCTTCATGTTATGTCACTTTCTAGGATCTGCAAAGCCAATGTTTTTATTGACAATTTTTTTTGCACTTTGTCTTAGCATAGTTTATATATTAGATTATTAATTAGATGATGCTAAATGCTGTTGTCCTGCATATGTTCCATTAATCCGATATTCTGAATGATAGTTACTGTCCTTTCAGAGAGTGGTGACTAAACAAATTACATCAAAACACTTTAAGTATAATAAACAATTTATCATTTGATGATTCAGAAGACCTTGTGTTATATTCATGTGACTCAGAGCTGTCACTATTGATCTGGTTTTATGAACAATGTTTCTGTAAAATAGAGGCATGAAATGGTAATTAATAGATCAACTAATGAAACTTTTATATAAGCGAGCTTACTGTATGACAAAAAGAAAAGACACTAATAATTGCATACTGTGCAATCTGTGTGTGTAATCATTAGCATCTTCTCTTTTTAGCATTCAGTCAATAATATGTTGAGCAACTATTCTATGCAAGGCTTGGTATCAGGAGCTGTGTTACCACAAAGTATGGCAAAATTTCTTCCAACAGAGTCTAATTTATAAGAATAGAAGAACTCTTGCCTCAATATAGGGAGTCCATTACATAACAATGACTTATTTTCCTTGAAAATATAATTAATAAATCTATTGTCTGTATCTCTTAACGGACCTACTCTAAAGGTATTTCTAATGTGGCCTGTATATGAATCATTTCCTATACATAGAACTCTTATACTACTAGTAGACATGTAATCAGAAAATTATTACTTAAGTTTGCATGGAAAAACTAAAATGTATTTATGAGTTGATTTTTGTTTTCATATATGCTTATTAAATTTGCTCATTCTACAAATCATCATTAGTGAAGCACATTGCAGTATTTCACAAAAGAAGATAAAGCAATGGGTACTATTTCTCATTCAGTCCATATTATTATTTTAATGACTCATTAAAGTTTTGTTTTTGTCCTGCATATCGATACAAAGTTGGCTACAAGATATCCATTTACTGTGCTATCTCTTCATTCATTAATGCACAAAAATAATGTTTTTTTCAAGTACTGTGAGGTATCTCTGGGAGAACCCTTCATAAATATACATTTACATAAATATTTATGTTTCTACAAATATGTATTTCTGGAATGTGAAATAATAAATCATTTATGGTGATGAATGATAAAACAGAAAAACCACTGTAAATCAACTTGCTGATTTCAGAAACTTCAGTGTATAACTCAAACCTAAATTCTTAAAAGCATCCTAGCATTAGCAATAAGGCTTTAAAGAAATCTTCCATATTTCAACTCATATAATTGCTATGAGTTTAATTTGTTTTAAGTTAAAAGTATTAACTTTATTTTATTTAAAAAGTTTGAAAATAAGATTTGTCCAGTAAAAGCAAGAAGATAAGATACCTTTTTGACAGTCTTTGAATTATGTAAAATGTTCAGATCTAATTTGATTAATGTTTTTATTGATATAATTGCTAGTTGAACAGTTTTTCTTTTCATAAAATTATACCTTCAGGTTTATTACTCTTTGTTAAAAAACAATTATTATGGGTATATGTCAAATTTTTGGTAATACCCAGTTCATTATTGATCATTTGCAATGATAAATTGTACCTAAGATCTAAATTGAAAAAATAAACAACATGTTTGTAAATATATATGTGTGTATATATTCACATACATATGTACTATATATAAAATAAAAGTAACTATCAATATACAATTATATAAAAATAAACATAAATTTTATACAAAATAGTTGGCCTGAGAACCTTGATGGGAATGCCTTGTGCACTTCTTTCCCAGTTTTAGAGATGAGTTTCTCATATCATTCCCAATTTGAATTATCATTAATTCAGGGTCAGATTTAGGTTAATATCAACATAGTAAAGGGGACAGTGCAAATATCTTCAAGAGCTGACAAAGCTAAAATCCTTTGACATTATAGAATCATTGGCCAAAGCCAAGAATATTAAGCATATTTCAATACACTTAGTATTAAATTGTAAAATATTACTCGTGTACTCACTTACACGTGTATTTATTCTTTCATGTAACAGCCCTCATCTTTCCACAAGGATTTAAGTTGCCAAAATTATAAATTATTAACTCTATTCCTGAGTCTTGGAAGGTATATAACACTGCCTTTATCAAAATTTCTTCTTTCAACACTGTTTAACATTCTGACTTTTTACTTTACGTAATTATAATATTTACAGTAATTTGTTATGCCACCATATTAATTTTGAAGCAGCAATTTACAGCAAAAGGAAAATAGGTATGTTGGATTATTTTAAATGATCTGTGTATTTATTATTTAATTTTTAATTTTTCTCTTTTATGCAGAGTTACCTACCTATTGACACTGTAGACTCTGGCATCCATCCAGTATATTTTTGCAGCACCCATTATATTGAAATGCTACTGAAGGCTGAGTTGCCTCTTGTGTTTTCAGCTTTTCACATGTCTGGTTTTGCACCATCACAGGTAATCCATAAGGGAGTAGCATTTCTTCAACTGCTTTATCTCAATGTCTTCAAATAAAACTGTGTTCTCATCAAATAAGGAAATACATTTAAATTAATAAAAGTGTGTATTTAAAATCCTCAAGCTAGCTTTTTCCCCAGGCCTGTTATGATATAAGTTTGCTTTATAAAACTTTCTACCATTCGCAAAATTTCAAGCTATTCAGGGCATGCACTGTCTGAAAGTCTGTATGACATGTAGGCTTTTTAATGGAGATGGTAATACTTGCTTCATAATGCCAGTGATTTACTGAGGTAACAGAGGGCAAGAATTCTTACCAACATTGTTTCATATATGAGACACTGTGTCTTATCTGGCAAAAAAATCCCAGTTGATTAACCTATGTGCCTCAGCCTTAGTTTCTACTGTCGGGATCTAGGAAGGCTTAATGTTTTTTTCTGGGGCCTCAAGTTACACAGTGCACAACCTTGGTGGTCATATACAGTAGTAGCCACAGATCCTCCTTTCTGTGCATAGCCAGTCCTTCGTTGGTAAAGGTGTGCATTGTTGCTTCACTATGTTATAATCAGGCTAAAATTAATACTGTAGGGTTTAAACCTTCATCTGTCTTTAGAATTAAATCTTTAGGTCAGGGTCTGAGAGAGCAGAAATACTTAATCTAAAGTTGTAAGTATTAATAGTTTTAAGGCTCTTGACTCATGTTATCAAATGAATTTGATTGTATTCTTCTAACAAAAATGAAGACTGTCCCTATTTTTCATGTTTGGGCATTTGGCTTTTTCAAAACTAATCACTAATTTAATAGGTGAAAATTGTTACCCTTTTTAAAATTTTGTGTTTCTTTGAACATTAGTAAGTTTAATGATATGTCCATAATTTTGTTAATTAATTGAATCTGATTGATTGCCCACCTATACTAGAGTGTATCTTATTGATTTGTAGACATTTTAAAGTAGCACCAACTGTCCAAATTGCTTCAATTCCTAAATTATACTTTACTTATTGTAACTTTGTATTATGTCTTAATTTTGAGTAAAAATAAGCCTATCATTTACTTTCCACCTTCCTCTAAAATGTTAATTAACTATTTCTGTGTATACTACATATACGTTGAGATGTCTTTGCTCAATTTAAACTGACCATTTAAATTTGGATGAGACTTAGATTGCTATTATGTTAAATTATAAATTACTTTGAGAAAAATTATGTTATTATACTCAGTCTATCTAGGAAGATAGTAAGCTTTTCCATTTCTTTATTCTGTATCATATCTAGTAAAACCATATTTTTTTCCACATGGATATGGTACATTTCTCATTACAGATATTGCCAGCGAGTATAGTTTGAGATCTGTTTCAATTTTATTTTCTCTTTGGTTATGGTTAATAATTACTAAATATATATCTTTTTATATTCTTTGTTATATTTTTTCTAGACTTGTGTCGATTTATTTATATTCTCCATCTTTGTAATGTTAATGTACTTTGTTTCATTTTATTTTTATTAAATTATCCAGTTCTTCCAAAATAATTATACACAATTGCTTACATGTTTTAGACTTGAATTATTGAGAAATTATCCAGCATGTTATCATTAAGTGGTGTCTATTAGAGAGAATTATTCTACATCAATGCTACAGAAGAATCCTGCCAGTCTTGGTTTCTAAAGTATTGAATTTTGTCTCATTTCTTTTAATTAAATTATAATGTAGAATTTCACCAATATATTTTATGATTAAGACTAACTTGATCTTGGGACTTCTTCGATATTTTTATGTGATACAGTAATAGATTTCTTAATAGTAAACTATCCTTGCATTCCCTTAGATTTATCCTATAAGGAATCTTTTCCACTTAATTAGATACTAGTTTTTCTTGATATTATGATATGAGCTTTCATATTTATTTTGAAGAAACCTTATATCATTTATTAAATTTATTTGTATGAAGTTATTCTTCCTATTTTAAACTTTTTGAAGTTAATAAGAAATTTAAATATAGAAAGGAATTGTGCGTAGTTTAAAGGAATACTCTTCCTTGGCCAATTTTTGCTCCCGCTATATGTACCTAAAACACTTTTTAGAACTTTAAATCACAAAATTTTTTAAGTCTGGTCAGAGGCAGTTGTTTAAATGTTTACTATAAACTCAATAATCAATTCTTTCCATTCTTCTAAAAACTTAACTGGAAACAGTACGTTCCTGAGAGTTCCTTTTTGCTTTTCTAATCTGCATTAGTGTAATGTGTATTGTCTAAAGAATCCAATAATTTATGAGTCTCTACCATATGCTCTTTAATTTAAAACTGGACCAACAAAGACGATGGGAAAACCTTGCAATACCTCAAGCCCTGCTCTATTGATTTAGTGATTAAAAAGAGAATATCCATCTAGTAATTGGATATATCTTTATCAGTTTTGTATATTTTTATTAATTTGGAACTACATGCAAATGGCAGATTTATTTAATAACAACCACTTCATTATTTTGAAACAGTAATGCTATTCTTTCTCTTAAAGTAATGTAAAAATATCCTTTTAATGACTCCCCATGTGAATTAATCTGTCTTAGAAGTTGTATCGTTGCTCTGTTGATATTATTTACCATTTTATTGCTAATTATAAAATATGAAAACAGCTTTTAAGTAACTAAATAGGTATATGTGATTAAGTAATTATTTGGATACAAATTTCGTAGCTTATTCATTTTGATCTAATTAGGAGCAGTGCTTTTTGAAGTTGTGTATTTTTAGGCACTGAGGAATTGGTTGATTAATGAATAATTTGTAGGCAGATTGCTAAATGAAATACACAGATCTCTAAAGTAAAAATAAGCTCAACTGAAGTACAAAAAAATAAATGTAGTAAGAAATGCATGTTTGTTGTAGAGTTTCTTTTAGTAGTAACTGAGTTTGGAAAGCAAATAGAAATTCGAATATATATTATTTTTAAATGAGCAACAGAAAATCAAATGTTCTCATTAACTTTTTGACTAATTTTATCTTTTGTTAAAAAAAAGTCTTACTGTACTTTGTTCATTTTCCTGGCTTAAGAGGTACCATGTATCTTTAATGATTCATCTCTTATAATTCCTTGGAGTCACTATCCTGCATATCATTGATTATTATATGGTACTGTGTCAACAATTAGGCTAACACAGATAATCCCCTGGATATAAAGTATAAATACCTGCTTAGATTTTCTTATTTGCTGTTTTTTCCCCTTATTATGAAAGCAGGATTATAGAAAACTGTTTCATTATTTTTTTGTGACACAATGCTTTTTGAAAATGTAAATCATACAAATGCAAAGCAGGATATGAAGACTGGGCATGGCCCTTGTTCAGCGTCAGATTTATAAAATGCGTATGTCTTTATGAATGTGTATGTCTTCCCTCTCTTCATGTTTTGGATCCATTGCATCTTGAGATAATACCTTCTCCCTTCCTGTGAGTTATTTTTGCTTGTTGGTACTTGTCCTTTAATATATGTCCAGATGGAAATATCCTGGATCATTTACAAGTATTTTGCTCTGTGTTTGTACACTGCTTCTGTACGCCTCTTTTAGTAGAAACACGTGTCTTGCTTTGTGGAATCATTATTTGTATTCTTTACCTTGCTCTTTTTAATTGAAGATCTTTAAAGGTGTGAATATATATGTGCCTCACTTCAGGTCCCTTGAGTTTCTGACACAGTGTCTTGCTTCATAGTATTATACTGTACTATATATACATAAGTGTATATATGTACTACATATATACACTTCATAGTATTGTACTATGAAGTGCAGGAAAAATAGTCTTATGTTTTTCATGTTTCTTCATAGTATAAAAAGTGGTTCTTTTTTCATTTAAAATTTTAACCTTTATTGTGTGACAGATAGAGAAATTCAGGATCAGTGAAGTGAATTGACTTGCAGAGGTCATTCAGATAGTGTAAGGACTTGAAACCACTTTTATTCCAAAGTTAGTTTTCTTCCTTACTTTACTGATACTTTTTCTATGATGACAGCAAATGAAGCCAGAGGAGTTGTTAAAAATAGTGTCTTTGAATCAGAAAACTTTATCATTTGTAAATCATACCTATTTTGACTTAATTGAGTATCTGTAGGTAATTGTTTTAACCAGACTTTTTTGACTTAATGTTTTATTATTATTATTATACTTTAAGTTCTGGGGTACATGTACAGAATGTGCAGGTTTGTTACATAGGTATACATGCGCCATGGTGGTTTGCTGCACCCATCAACCCATCATCTACATTAGATATTTCTCCTAATGCTCTCCCTCCCCTAGGCCCCCACCACGCAATAGGCCCCAGTCTGTCATGTTCCCCTCCCCTGTGTCCACGTGTTCTCATTGTTCAACTCCCACTTACGACTGAGAAGATGCGGTGTTTAGTTTTTGGTTATTGTGTTAGTTTGCTGAGAATGATGGTTTCCGGCTTCATCCATGTCCCTGCAAAGGACATGAACTCATCATTTTTTATGGCTGCATAGCATTCCATGGTATATATGTGCCACATTTTCCTTATCCAGTCTATCATTGATGGGCAGTTGAGTTGGTTCCAAGTCTTTGCTGTTGTGAAAAGTGCCACAGTAAACATACGTGTGCATGTGTCTTTATAGTAGAACGATTTATAATCCCTTGGGTAGATACCCAGTAATGGGATTGCTGGGTCAAATGATATTTCTGGTTCTAGATACTTGAGGAATCACCACACTGTCTTCCACAATGGTTGAACTAAATTACACTCCCACCAACAGTGTAAAAGTGTTCCTGTTTCTCCACAACTTCTCCAGCACCTGTTGTTTCCTGACTTTTGAATGATTGCCATTCTAACTGGCGTGAGGTGGTATCTCATTGTGGGTTTGATTTGCATTTTTCTAATAACCAGTGATGATGAGCTTTTCTTCATATGTTTGTTGGCTGCATAAATGTCTTCTTTTGAGAAGTGTCTGTTCATATTATTTGCCCACTTTTTCATGGGGACTTTTCTTGTAAA